GTCTAGTTTGGTCTTACTCAGATTCCCCATTTGTCAGACTCACTAGCTCGGGTCAGCTGATTCTGTGGGTTTTCCCATCATGGTCTTGACTCCTTTGTTCATATTATCTCTCCTCCCTCACTTAGATTGTACTCCAGGAGCTTGGTCCATTGCTTAGTGGTGGATTTCTGCATCTGCTTCCATCTGTTTCTAGAAGGGGTTGTGGATTGTAGGCTGGGTTTCGTTTGCTTTATGTCTGGTATCCACTTATGAGTGAGTACATCCTATATTTGTCTTTCTGATTTTGGGTTATCTCACTCTCAAGACCTTGAAATACCACTGTTGGGCATAACTCAAAGGAGGCACATTCACACCACAAGGACATTTGCTCAACTATGTTCATAGCATCATTATTTGTAATACTCAGATCTTGGAAACAACCTTGATGCCCCTCAACTGAAGAGTGGATAAAGTAAATGTGGTATAACAATGGCATCCTAAACTTCACGGGCAAATGGACAGAACTGGAATTACCAGAAGAATTTCTGAATTTCAGAAAAGGCAAGCAAGTTGTGATGGGAAGCGTTTCACATTTGTCTGTCTAGAAATGTTGTTGGCCACTTCTTGAATGGTGATGGTTAATGTTAATTGACAAGTCCACAGGATCTAGAACTACCTAGGTCCCCAGGCACACCTTGGAGATGTTTTCTAAACTGGGTTAGCCTCTGTTCTGGCTTGTGAAGACTGTCTTCATTAGGCTAAGGGAGGTGCAAGAACCACTGCAGATGCAGACAGCATTCCCTGGGCTTGTGCTCTCTGCTTCCTGGCTACATACAGATGCCATGTGACCAGCCTCAAGCTCTGGCTGACAACCTCTCTGCCATGGGACTGTACCTTGAACTGTGAGCCAGCATAAACCCTGTTTTAATCGCTTTTGCCAGAGTATTTTATCACAACACTGAAGTAAAATACAGAAAATTGGATTCAGAAGTGTTCTGGGACCCACTGTGTAGCCCAGGCTGGCTTTGAACCATGAAGCAATCCTTTTGCCTCAGTCTCCCAAATTCTGGGATTATAGGCAGGCATCAATTACCACACTCAGATGACATTTTTCTTTTTCTTTTTGGTGGTGCTACAAATCAAACCCAGAGCCCCAAATATGCTACCCAGGTATTATACCACTGAGCTACACCCACAACGTCATAAATATCACCTATCACTTTAGAGTAACCCTTCTTCAGTAGGAATGTCTCTTGGTGGTAACTGACTCATCAGTTTAGCTGATCCAATGCTAAATGCCACCTTTGGCCAATTCTCCCAAGGGTCAACATGGGTCCAAACTTGTTTTTATTATTAAGTGGACCATGGTAGAAAGCAAAGTCCTCCAAATCCTACAATCAAGTGTTTGCATACTCAAACTATGTTTCTGTTTACACAATTGTCATCTTTCAAGTAGATTCTGATTTCCAGAAATAACCACAAAACCCTAACCACAGGGGTCTGGAGAGACAGATCAGGGTGTAAGAGCACTTGGTGTGCAAGCAAGAGGATCTGAGTCTGAATCCCCAGGACCCGTGTGAAAACCAGGCAGGGCTGTGAGGTGCTATAACACCAGTACTGGGGGTAGAGACAGAAGATCCAGGAAGCTGGCTAGTGAAACCATGAGCTTGTGGTGTGGTGAGGGATCCAGTTACTCCAAACAAGGCAGAAAGGAAGGTTGATGCTCTCTTCTAGTCTCTGAATGCATGCATGCACATACATGAACACATGCATACACTTTTTCCTTATAGCATCTAACAGACAGTAATAGAGCTGGGGTAAAGTGCCTTGTTATCAAGCCTGGCAACCCATGTTTAATTCCTAGAAATCCCAAAGAAAGCTAAGAACCAATTCCCACAAGCTCACACACACACACACACACACACACACAAATAACTATACACACAAAAAAAATTAAGCACCTAACCACAGGCTTAACACTGATATCCAAAAAGAAAAGCATGAAAAAATGCTGTTGAAGAACTTAGAGCACATCTGGAGGAAAGGGAGAGAGCAAACAGTAAGTATCTAGGAAACCTGTCACAGACTCTGAGGGACACCTCGGTCTCAGGATCTAATGGGCAGTGTGTATAACTCCATCCCATAGATACAGCCTATATAACAGCTAGGCCCCATCAGAAGCCTACTCATGGACTAGCACTATTGCACAATGAATAAAGGTGCTTGCAACCAAGCCTGACAACTTAAATTCCACCAATGGATTTCACACACATGGAAGGTGAGGAATCCCTCTGGGTTCCACATATGCACTGTGGCGTATACACACACACACACACACACACACACACACACACACACACTTCCACAGGTGCACTGTGGCGTACACACACATGAACACTCACATGTATGATGGATGGAAGGATGGATGCATGGATGGATGAACATTGAGGTATGTTTGTCAAGATGGCTTAGTCCTGGTACCTCTCATCAAGCCTGACAACCTGAATTCTTTTTTTTCTTTTTCTTTTCTTTTTGGTTTTTTGAGACAGGGTTTCTCTGTGGCTTTGGAGGCTGTCCTGGAACTAGCTCTTGTAGACCAGGTTGGCCTTGAACTCAGAGAGATCTGCCTGCCTGCCTCTGCCTTCCAAGACCTGGTGTAACCTGAATTCTATCCTCGGGAGGACAAAGTCATATTTCAGTGATTCAGCTGTCCACAAAATATTCCAAACCACACTGATTATCCCTCTTATCTAATCCCTGTTTTCCTTTCTGGGCTTTCACTCAGGCCTGTCCATAGTTTTGACACTACAACACAATTTTGTCATATACAAAGTTACACTCAAGAAACACACAATCAAATCAAATTAATACTTTTTTTAAAAAAATATCATATTTTCTGTAAGCTTGTAATCTAGTTCTGGTGACATTCACAGCTATCCTAGGCCACATGTAACCGGTGGCCAGCAGATGAGGCTCATGGGAAATTTCCTCCATGCAGCTTCCATATGTACCCTGCATGGGGACAGTATAAGGGTTAATTGTCAGTTCAGGACTCTAACACGTTGGTTCAAGTCCCAGGAATATTGCCTAGCTCACGACATTGTCATGACTACTACTGATGATGATACAGCTAGATAGGCAGATGGTGACATGCTTAGAATACACAAGGCCATGAATTCTAACACTAACGTAATGTAGGAGGTGGCCACATCAAGTGTTGACACTCGCTGTTCTCAGTTATGCTAATAAACATCTCATTTCTTGCAGTGCTGTGCATCAAACCTGGGCTTTATACACTATAAACAAGTGCTCCAAATACTGAACTTCAGCCCCAGCCCTGATGCTGATATATCTGAATCCAACTTCTCTTTTGTCCCTGGGAGTTATGTCACCTTTAATCTCAGAGTGCTGCTCCACCTGAACTCTGAGCATCTCTCAACTGATTGCCTTCCTGTGTAGAATACCCATTCTTGGTGATAAAACGTTCCAGAAGCACCCGAGCCACAATGACTTCAGTGAAGTTTTTTCAAAGTCACTGGACAGCTGTAGAGTTGGCTCAGTCCGTAAAGTTCCCAGAGTTGGATACCCAGAATCCACTAAGACAGCCAGGCCACTGTGGCATGAACATGTAATCTCAGTGCTATAGAGGCAGATCCCAAGGGACTACTGGTCAACCAGCCGAGCCCATTCAAAAAGCTTCAGGCCAGTGAGAGATCCTGTCTGAAAAAACAAAGTGGCTGGCTCCTGAGCTTGTCCTCTGGCCTCCACACATACAAACATACAGCTGTACACACACAACCTTACACAGACAGACACACCAGCCACTATTTGTTTAATTGAAAATGAACCTGGAAAGGACAAAGGATTGGCCTTGGGAATTTGATTTGGGTCCACTCCAGCTGTCTGGTGAGTATTACTTGAAACTCTCACACTGGGTCAGGGAAGTACTCCATCTGTGAGACTCTGTGAGACTGTGTGTGCATTTCTAACTTTATATGGTGTCTGTGGTAATATATAAAGATCAGTGTTCCCACCAACTTCAAAGCAGCTCCCGGCTTGACGCAACGCTGTGGGGGCATAGGAGAGGAGAAACGGGTTCCATGTGTTCAAAGAATCTTATCCTGAGAGGCAATGCCCAGCTCTTTCATCTGTCTCTTATTTATATTGCACAGAGGAGTCAAGTTAGCAAATGTCAAACCCTCATTGAATATATCTTTTTAAAATTATGTTTATTTATTTATTTACATACCTCGAGTGTGCATGAGTGCTTGCAGTGTATGTCAGAGGACCACTTTCAGGAGTCAGTTCACTCCTTGTATCATGTGGGTCCCGGGCATTGAACTAAGATCGGCAGACTTGGTGGCAATCACCTTTACCTGCTGAGTAGCTCAATGAATGGAACGTGACCACAACGCTCCTGCCCCATGGAAGCAGCACTTTGGCTAAAGATGCACCGGCCCATAGACACTTCCCCACTGCCACACTCAAGAGCTGGAAGCTATGAAGCACATCACAGTCCAGGCAAAGAGATGCCTGCACCTGTCAGGAAATCTGTGTGAACAACATAGACTTACTTCTCTAGACTGATGCTGAATTGCTACTTTAACTTTTAGTTCGGGGAGATGGTGATCCAGCAAGCATGACTCTAGTATTTCCAATGAGAATTCACATCTGACATCACACATGGATAAGGGACAATGATTTAAACAAACAAACAAACAAGCAAACAAAGAAACCAAAAAAAAAAAAAAACCCAAAATAAAACATTAAGTTCTAGGTAAGAATACTGAAGAAAGAGTGTGATATCAACCCTTGAGCACAGGGGCTACCCAAACGGTCAGTCAAATATCTTCTTTTGAGACCAGAAGACTATATTGTTGGCATCATCCATCACAAGGTAATACTATAATGTTTTCTGTTGGTAGCATGTGACAATTCAGTTCTGGTACACTATAAATACAATCTGCCCTCCAGCTCCTAGTGCCCTGCCAAAGCCAGCCTGGCCTGCAAGGACAGCTTACCATCTTCAACAATGACTTCTTCCTCCTGCCCATCCTGGTTTTCCTCTTGGACGTGGACATCTCCTTGTTCAGCTACGCCATTGACAGCAGACAGCTGGCCATTCTTCTGTAGGAGCTGTGAGGGAAGACAAAGCCATGTAAACATGAATTAAGTCCACTTATCCAAGTAAAAAGCAATGCTTCGACTTCCAGAGTATAAACTGTGAAATGGAGGAATGCAGAGAAATGGAGGCACCATGAAGAAGAAGAAGAAGAAGAAGAAGAAGAAGAAGAAGAAGAAGAAGATGTAAGTTCTATATCCATCTTCACCAACTGTATAGAATACATGATGTCCTAACACCAAAAGATTGACCCTGGTATGTGAAGTGTGCAGAAGTCTACACATTCATTCTTTTGTCCATTCGCTGGTCAAAATCCTGTTTCAAAAACTACAATGAAGAACTCAGGTGAGTCTTGTCACTCTAAGCTTACAGACTAGCATGGAAGCCAAATTTTTCTTATCCCTTTCTTTTTATTCTTCCTTGTAATGGTGGGGATCCAGGGCTCTGGTATGCTAGGGAAGAAATCCACCATCTCTGGTCATAAAAATATTATTTTCCCTCCAGGCGTTGGTGGTACCTGCCTTTAATCCCAGCACTCCGGAGGCAGAGGCAGGCAGAACTCTGTGAGTTCGAGGCCAGCTTGGTCTACAGAGTGAGTTCCAGGACAGGCTCCAGAGCTACACAGAGAAATCCTGTCTCAAAAAACAAAACAAAAATATATATATTTCCCCTATAAAATAGTATCTCCATGACTCTGGTTTCAAAAGTCCACACCCACGCTCTTGGATGTGCTCTATTCTTCCCCTGAGCATCTCTTTCTACTAATGCCTATTCCTAAATCTGTTAAAATACCTTTTAATAAAGCCCAGCTCTTGAGCCAGAAAGATGGCTCTGTGGATAATGGCACTCACTTCCTGACATGTATGTTCACCCAAGTTTGATTTCTGGTAGAAGAAGAGAACCAACCCCCACAAGTTGTCCTTTGACCTCTACATGCCACAGCATTCATGCACACATATGTATGTTCACCAGCACACATAAATGTTAAAACTTAAAAGGAGGGATGGCACTGGAGAGATGACTTAGGGTTAAGAATACTGACTGCTCTTACAGGGGACTGATCGGAGATGTCATTCTGTGAATATGTTTCTCTTATTGTTTAATGAATAAAGCACTGCTGGCCAATAGGGCAGCAAGATAGGGGGGGGACTAGGATATGAGGAGGATTCTGGGAAGTGTAGGCAGAGAGGAGTTGTCATGTGATCCCAGGAAGTGACTTGGCTGGGCAGAAACTGCCACTAGCTAACTACAGAAGTCTGTACAAAGAGGCAGGAAGTGATGTAGCTGGGCAGAATCAGAATATAAGCAGGGACAAACAGGAAATCGCTCTCTTCTCTTCTCTGCAGATATGCTGAGTCAGTCACCATGTAAGACACCAGGAGTAACAGGTCCCTGGACTTTTCTCCAGTAAGAGAAGACCATGTGGGGAATACTTAGATTAATGGAAAATGTGTTAATAATTAAGACAGAGATAGCCAATAAGAAACCCTAGCCAATGGACAAAAGTTTCATAATTATTATAGCATCCATGTGTTTCTTTGGGATAGAGAAGGGCGGTGGAACCTAGCCAGACCAAGAAAACATTCACGTTACAGGGGACCCATGTTTGCTTCCCAGCACCCACATGGGGACTCACAACCCATCTAGAACTCCAGTTGCAGGGGATCTGATGCCTTCTTCTGGCCTCCAAGGGGACAAGGCACACATGGGACACATAAATATATGCAGGCAAACATTCAAACACATAAAATAAGTACATCTATTTTTAAAATTGTAAGATCCAACTCTGCTTTTTAAAAACATTTAAAACTTAACAGATAAAACCATGTTTCTATGTGACTAGATACAGGTTAAGAAGAATACCTGAACTTTACAAATAGTAAGGCCTCCTCAGATTAGAACTGATGATTAAATTTTAGTTATTTGTATGTGTACGGGTGTTTTGCCTGCATGTTTATACAACATAAACATGCAGTGCCTGGAGACAGATGAGGACACCAGAACCTCTGGAACTGGAGATGCAGATGATTGTGACCCTCCATGTGGGTGCTGGGAATCAAGCCTGGGTCCTGTAGAAGAGCAGCCAGTGCTCTTAACTGCTGAGTCAGCTCTCCATTCTTCAAAATTGATAACTGAACACCTCATTCCTAGCGGCAGTTATACGAAGAGACACGAAGCAATCATTTGCAATGTCAAATGACAGCCACAGGAGGATCCCAGGCCACGCCGGGAGTGGGGGATTAATCAGAGAACAAGGTTCTCCTGGCAAGGGCTGTGTGAGAACTGGGGGTACAGAGAAGGGGGTGAGAGAGAGGGCTTCAAGGGGTGACAGCTGTTGTTCCCACAGCCCAGAAGACATCTGTTCTTTTTCTTTAAAAATATTGCTATGGAGCTGGAGAGATGGCTCAGAGGTTAAGAGCATTGGCTGCTCTTCTAGAGGACCCTGGTTCAATTCCTAGCACCCACATGACAGTTCACAGCTGTTTGTAACTCCAGATCCAGGGGGAATCCAGCATCCATCCTCACCGCTATATATGCAGGCAAAACACCAATGCACATAGAATAAAAAATAATTTTTTTTACATATTGCTAAATGTGGGCTGGGAAGATAGCTCCCTCTATGCTACAGAGTGTAAGCATGATGACCCAAATTTGGTCCTAATAACTCGTAAAAGGCCAGCCATCACCTGGAGTAGTCGTTCAGTCAGTAAGGTGCTTGCCTTCCCATTTAAGACCTGAGTTTGTTTGGATCCTCAGACAGTATGATAAAAAGCAGGTGTGGTGACATACGTCTGTAACCCCAGAGATGGCAAACGGGAAATGGGCACTGGTAGGTCTTTGGTGCTAATAGGCCAGCTATGCTCAAATATTTGGTGAACAACGAGAGACCCAGTCTCAAACAGAAGATGAAAAGTGACCAACATCTGGTACAGGAGGCTGTCTTCTGACCTCCACATATGTGCTATGCACACCCACACCCTGAAAGAAAGAGGAAAAGACCACGCATAGAACTCAGTGCTCCCCTTGCTGTCACTGTTCACGGGTCAATGGATGGCACAGGACAAACTGATCGTTCTCAAAGGTTCTGTGGCCTCAGGATCTGGAAGACTGGAGGTGTGCGGAACTGATTCCACCGTGCTATTATTTCCTAATGCCAGCAAAGGCCTTCACCCTCTTGCACTTTCCCCTGAAATAACATCACGTACTGACACTGAAGTCGGCTTCACAATGCCCATGCTGAGTCTGGTTATTACACGCGCTACTCAGATTACAGTTCTACTTCAAGGCTTCGATTACCAAAATATGAAAGATGGGAATTTTAAATGAAAGCTAAAGAGATAAAGGAGGGGTGCTGTCTCCACGAGGTCCATCAGCAAAAAACGCCAGCACATTTTAACTGGACAGTACTAGAACCAGGCACAGGTTGGATTGAATTGAACTAGCAATATGAAGGGTGGGGTATGGGGTCAGAATCACATGTTTAGGGGGCTACATGGCAACTCGATGAATCTTAGGCTCTATCTTGATGTGTTAGGTGTGGTGGTACAAACCTGCAATATTAGGCAGGAGGATTAGGGGTTCAAAACCACCTGGGCAACATGAGACACTGCCAAAATCAAGAGTTGACATTGAGATCATCTTAATAAATCCACTTTTAAGGCTAAAAACACTAGGTTAATTGTACACTGTAGATAAGGCTAATTGTTCTTTCTTCTTCCTCTTCCTTTAGTTGGTTGAATTTGAAAGAGGGTCTCACTGGATATTCTAGGCTGGCCTCAAACAAAAGTGATCCACCTGCCTCTGCTTCCCAAGAGCTAGGATTAAAGAGGTGAGCCATCATGCCTGCCCCTGCCTCATCACATTTACCAGCATGTACCTCAATCTTTTTAAAATCATGTGTGTGCATTTATGGGTACAGACACATAAGTGTGCGTGCCCTAAGGTCGCAGGCCCTGAATCTGGAGGTTTGGGTGATTGTGAGCAGTCCCTCCATGGGTGCTGGGAGCCAAACTCGGGTCCTTTGCAAAAGCAGTACATTCTCTTAATGAGCCTTTGAGTCACCTCTCCCAACCCAGCCTTGTTTCTCTTCACACACTGGAGAGTCCACACTGGAGGCACACACTGGAGAAGCATTTCTTCACTAAACCTGTTATCTTTCATCCATCCTATCTGTGACTCACAGGGCCACAGAAGACAGGATTTACCTCAGCTCATGCCAGGACAGGAAGGGGCAGACCCAGATGAGGTTCGGCGGTCTCCAGAGTTCAGGGAGGAAGGTAATTTTGTAAGTCAAGGTTTCCAATCAAGAAAGAAGGGAAATCTGTACCCCATTTTTCTCTCTGAGTCTTCCCTCCTTAGCTTTATCCACACATCTTGGATTTAGTATTAGACATACATTTGTTTCTTTGGAGACAAAAATTGGAATAGAAAAGACACAGCCCTCACCCCGTAAGCACGATGAGTCCCAGAAACCCAATCTGCCCACGGGATTGCGCTTCAAAAGCAAAGACGCCTCCTCTGACCAAAATCAAAACCCTAAGTGTTTTCAAGCTCATATCCTCTGGGGGGGTCAGCCAGAGGTTATCCCGGCAAAGTGTTACCACATTACAATAGAGCAACACTGGAACAGTCGAAAGTCTCTAATGCTTCCAGCAACAGCCTCGCCTTCCTCTAGGAACATCCGAGAACATCCAAGATAGTTTGTAAGATGTCTGAGAGTGACTATCACGCATCTCTCTCTCCTTCCCTGTCCACAGCTTGCCCTGAGTTCTCTGTGCAGTATCAAGCCCTTTAATGAATTGCTTAAATAATGAACAAAATCCAGGAGGTCCTGCCAGCTGTCAGGATAATGGGGCCAGAGGCAAGACTGCTGAAGGAACAACAGGAGCCATGTTCCTATCTTACATTCCCTCTGCATGGCCCACAAAGGTGGGAATAGCCCAGCATTTGTCACATCTGTAGATGAAGCAGCTTCAACTCGCCCTACCTATGACAGCAGAAATCATGTGC